TGGAGACGCGTAGTTTTCCACCCAGCGTCCCCGTTACTGCATCTCTGCCGTGTTCATCGGTCAGCAGTATGAGGGCAGCAAGTGTGCGCATGACACCTGGGGGTCATATGTCACTTCCGTCACTTTTAACGTAAGGGACCATTTTAAAAATATATTTATTATAAGTCTACATTACTGATTCAAGCTTTTAAAAATGATATATTAAAATCACACAGGTTATGACTTACGAAGTTATGGGTATATGTTTTCTGAATACCAAATAAAATAAATTCCCCCCCCCCTTTTTCAAAAGTTATAAAATATTTGTATGAAGATGAATCACTTAATTAATTGAACGTGTTTAGAAGAAGAAGAAAAAATCTCGAATAATAATAATAATAATGTTTATTTGAAAAACACGCTTCATCCCCAAAAGCTCGAAGCGCGGTACAAAGTCAACCATATTAAAAAGAGAAATAAAAATCTAAAATAAAATATTTGTATGAAGATGAATCACTTAATTAATTGAACGTGTTTAGAAGAAGAAGAAAAAATCTCGAATAATAATAATAATAAAGTTTATTTGAAAAACACGCTTCATCCCCAAAAGCTCGAAGCGCGGTACAAAGTCAACCATATTAAAAAGAGAAATAAAAATCTAAAATTTACCACAATGAAAAACAGACGCAACAAGATAAAGCTACATACGGGCATACCCAGTCAAAGTCTTTCATCCCGTTTCAACCATAAGCAACACAGGCCAATATACATTAACTGAAAAAGATGGTAGACAGCATCACCCCAGAAGGTGTTTGCGAAATAGATGTGTTTTTAAATCGGTTTTAAAGGACTCCAGTGTCTGGCTGTTTCTGAGAGCGACTGGAAGTGCGTTCGAAATTGTTGGGCCGGCAAATGCAAAAGTGCGCTTTCCGTAAGTCTAAAGGCGAACACACGGTATCGATATTTCGCCACTATCGGATGAGCGGAGCTCTCTCTAGTGGGTACATAAGGCGTCATGAGTGGTTTGAGATAAGATAAGATAATGCTGTTGAGCTCCTTTGAATTTTTCAAATGTGGTTAAATTGGCGTAGAGGTTGGTAAAAAGAAAAAATGTGTAACTATGAATAGAGCAGAGGGCTGACGACCGTAACACATTTAAAAGAAGGAATGTTCTAAGCCAGCGGTTCTCAACCTGTTGGTCGCGACCCCTTGGGGCGTCGCACGACCCTTTTACGGGGGTCGCCTAAGACCATCTGAAAACAAATATGCTCTACAATTATAAGGTATCAACGAAAATAATTTAGTGGTTGGGGGTCGCCACAACATGAGAAGCTGTATTAAAGGGTCGCGGCATTAGAAAGGTTGAGAACCACTGTTCTAAGCTATTTCAAATCGGAAGTTAATTCTAACAGAAGTTAATTCAAACGGAAGTTAGTTCAAATGGATTTTTTTTTCAAGGGTAACATAGTTTGTTCGCTGACAGTAAGAAATTGGGAAATGTAAACTTTTAAATATATTTTTTCTGTTTCTTTTTTCTTTTTTTTTTTCGTGGTTTCATTGCTTTCGAACTAATTTCTGCATCCGGTCCTGTGTAGATTAACGTGGGATAGATCAACGAAGGCATTCGACAAGCATTTCACGGGATACAAGTCGCGTCCCAAGCCATTTAACACGGGCTTAAAAGTCAACTCATGGGAGAGTTAATAGGTTTGAACTGTAGACGAACCACCGCAGTTGGCTTACACGGGGCCAGGTCATCAACCATAGCATTGATTATCGTTATTGTTCAGAGTACCCCCCCCCCCCCCAGAGTTTAACCCCGAAATTTGAATTCTCTGAGTACCGACGCAATCTATCTTTCAATCCGGTTTATCATTTTTTCATCAGCCTAACATAATTATTAAAAATCTAATCATCTTTGTTGTTGTTGTTGTTGTTGTTGTTGTTGTTGAAAGATTCAAAGCCATAAATCAGTCAACTAACAAACAAGACAACAATTAGATGTTGGCTGTCACGTAATGGTGATGTGCTGCGTCCAGGGCTCGCGTTTTAAGTTTTTCCTGAACGCTTTGTAATCTCCTTTCATGTATATGTTTTTTTCTTTAAAATCAGCTTGTTTATTCGTGTCTGTAGATTGCCCGTGGGGCACCGCTCTACGATGGTTACAGTTGTGCCAGTGTCGCTCTGTCAACACGGTCATCTAAGGTGCAGGGGCGTGGCGACGCCGTGCGGTTGTCCGGTCAGACAGGTGTTACACGCCGCTGATCGTGTCTCGTCTGTTTGATGGCCACAAACCTGCTTTTCAAACGATTGTTTGTCAATGACGTGTGAGGGAACAAACTTCGATCGAGTACAAACTTCAGCGGTGTGCTGACCATCAAGGGAAAACGTCATCTGTACTTTAAGGATTTCTTGTAAATTTTTAAAGTTTAGATTTTTTTAAATATTGTTTTTGACATGTTTACCAACCGGTTCGGTACAATATTCAAAACTTGTCAAAATTTACCACCGATGCGGTACAATAGTCAAAATTTACCAACTGTTCTTACAACAGTCTAAATTTACCAACCGATGCGGTACAACAGTCTAAATTTACCAACCGGTTCGGTACAACAGTCTAAATTTACCAACCGGTTCGGTACAACAGCCTAAATTTATCAACCGGTGCGGTACAATAGTCAAAATTTTCGAGCAGGCTGGCCGCGAGACACGGCTGCAGGACACCACTGACCATCTTGGTATAAAACAAGGTCTGGTGTACACGCCAGAACTTGGGTGGGTGTTTCTTGTTATTGTCTTCAACAACTATGACACGAGTTAAATGACTGTCATGCGGGCCGACCTCTCTAACTACACAGGATAAGCCTGACTGCTTACACATAATAACCCTGACTTCCTACTTACTGAGCTAACTTTCTGCTACTTACAGGATAAATATCAATCTTTTGTATGATCTGAAATTATGTCTTATTAATCCTAATTTTTTAAATTAACAATCCGGAATTTTAGATTTTTAAAAATTAACTTTTTGGTTCGATTGAGACAAACTTTTTTTTTTATTATTCAGTGCCTCAGCAAAAAAAAAAAAAAACCGAAGTGTTGATGTAAGATAAAATTTGAGAACCGTTTCGTTTCGTCTGAAGTACATTCTTGAATGGACCATTAATCAAATAATACTGAAATCCCATGGTAATACGCCTTTTGTCCGATGTACTTAACAACCTTAATCAAACAATAATCAGCCCCCCAACCCCCCACCCCCACCCCATGGTCTCCGACACACAATCCAATCAAATTCAACTACACGATCTCCTTGGGTCCCAGCAGGGGTATAGAGAAACTCTCTTGTGTGATAGGATGGACTGAGTTTTTTCGGAACGTTAAGAGACAATTCGAATCACGTTTTATATTATATAAATATTTTATCGTGGTCACATTTTGGTGTTCATACAATTCTAATTCATAGCGTTCGACAGCTAATTCAACGTGGTGGGTGTTAAGATCTTGTATTTGAGTGATGGTTCAATGTGTCGATAGCAAAGACCTTGTACTTGAGTGATAATTCAATGTGTCGATAGCAAAGACCTTGTACTTGAGTGATGATTCAATGTGTCGATAGCTAAGAACTTGTATTTGAGTGATGATTCAATGTGTCGTGAGCAAAGACCTTGTACTTGAGTGATAATTCAATGTGTCGATAGCAAAGACCTTGTAGTTGTATAATAATTCAATGTGTCGATAGCAAAGACCGTGTATGTGAGTGATGATTCAAGGTGTTGATGGCTTAGACCTTGTGTTTGATGGATAATTCAATGAGAGTGATGCTAAAGGTGCCTCTCGTTGGTACTCACAACTCAAACCTTTCGTTTAAAACGTGTAGCGCCTCTGAGAGCAAGTGCTGCTTAGTTTGAGCAGAATGTGCCCGTCTGTTTGATCAGTCTGTTCTTTGTACTTGGAGGGAGCATTACTCTGTTCATTACTCTGTTCATTACAATGTGCATTGCTTCGTGCTTTACTCTGTGCATTACTCCATGCAGTACACTGTGCATTATTATATGCATTACTCTGCGCATTACTCTGAGCATTAATATGTGCATTATTCTGTGCATTACTCTGCGTATTACTCTGAGCATTAATATGTGCATTATTCTGAGCATTACTCTGTGCATTGTTTCGTGCTTTACTCTGTTCATTACTCTATGCATTACTCTGTGCATTATTCTTTGTTCCTTCCCCTTGAGATGACATGCTAGTGTTTACATTGTGAAATGTGAGGCTAGACTGGCTTAAACATTCTTCATAGTTTCAGTGTAAGAGATTATTTTCTTCATGTTATTAATGATTTTCAGACATCTTGCTTAAAACCTCATTTATATTTATAAATGTGTATAAATCAAAAGGTAAATAAAGAACTAATTTTTAAAAAATAATCATATCATCGAATGATAATTTAGGTCACTTTCTGCATGAACACCGGCTGCAGGAAGAAAGGTGGATAATTCTTTCATGAGAAATTTTAAATTCCTATATTATTGTATAGATACCGCACCTTATAACAAGAAATTAAAGTATTTTAACAATTATATGGTGTTGACTAATCAAGTATTCATTTTCAGTGATGTCGCTGTTGAACTCCTACATTGGAGCAAACTTTAAACATGTGACTTATGTCGTTCCTGGCTCCCAGTGGATACGTTAAGTAAAGATATTCTTACGCAATACTGTGAGCCCGAATCTCAACAAAAACAAAAGCCTGCACCAAAATGGACGTTTTCGCCACCTTGTCCGACCTTATGACATCTGGATTCGACATCTCCGCCCATGGAGAAAATATAACTCCCGTCGCTGGCTTCCCTTCCGAGAGGGACGAAAACGTTTTAAACACAACATTCAGTGGAGGACACGTACCCCGTCGCGACAACATCAGTTTCGTCAATGCCACCGACGGCGGTGCTCAGATCCTCAGCGACTTCGCGCGGGAAATGTTCATACTGATCAACCACGTCATTCTGAGCACGTCCCTGTGCCTGTTTGGAATCGTGGGCAACACCATCAACATCTTGGTGTTTGTAAAGCAAGGTCTCCGCCAGTCGGTCAACTCCAGCTTCTTCGCCATGTCCATCTCCGATCTGCTGGGCCTCGTGTTCCAGGTCTGGCACAACTTTTGTTTGAACCCGTACGTTGATCAGCTGGACGCTCCCATTGACTTCCTCGATGTCCAGTACCTCACCGCCGGCTGGCCCAACTCCGTCCTTGTGAGGATCACTGGTTGGATCACCGTGTACGTCACAGCCGAGCGATGTCTTTCGATCGCCGTGCCGCTGAAAATAAAACAAATCGTGACTCCGAGGCGCACGGCCGCCATTTTGGTTTTCATCTACGTCATCAACATTGCCTCACTACTCCCCCTTTATTTCTCGGCTTATTTCAGTTGGAATTTTTACCCGGCCCAGAACAGAACAAAGTTCGGAATATCCTTCAGAAGTAACAAACTGGAAATCGAATACTTGATCTTCACGTTCCAGGCATCGCTCGCGATAATCGCCTTCGCCTGCGTCATCATCTTCACGACCGTTCTGGTGGTCAAGCTGAAAAAGAAATCAAAATGGCGTCGATCGACGACGTTCGACAGAGAGCAGTCCGACACGATGTCTTCGCGGGAACGCAAGACGATCAACATGGTGGTCGTGGTGGCCACCGTCCTGATCGTCTGCTACACGCCCGCGGTCACGTGCTCCATCACGACGTCTCTCACGTCCGACTTCGGCATCACGGGCAAGCAGTCCAACCTGTTCCACATGGCCTGGTCCTTCGGGTTCCTGTTCCACTCCATCAACTCCAGCATCTCCATCCTGCTGTACTACAGGATGAGCTCCAAGTACAAGAAGACTTTCCACGAGATTTTCCCGCAGTGCGCCAAGGGCCGGGGCGCCACGGACGCCCGAGACGAGCCGGTGTCTACTGACAAATCAAATATGTCGTCGGAGAACAGTTTGAACAGTGTCCTGACTAATGTCAGCTAAAGTGATTTGGGGGTTGGGGGTGGGGGGGAAGTTGTTAGGTTGACAGTAGTTAGTGTTTAGTGTAACCTACATGTGTTTAACTTGAACCAAAAAGAAAACGCTAGTGTATAGGTGAGAGTGTTTAGTGTAACCTACATGTGTTTAACTTGAACCAAAAAGAAAACGCTAGTCTATAGGTGAGAGAATATGTGCCGGACAGCTGTTGTTTTTTATGACAGATTATCGATTGTAAGTTCATTTTTTTTTAAAATATAGTTGTATGCTAAATGAATCCAAGAAAACAAAGGTCTTGAATAGAATTCTACAAACATAATGGACAAAGATTGTGTGACCACGGAGGTGGAGAAACAATTGTGTAAATAATCATGATTTTTTTTAAAAAATTGTATTTAACTATTTTGAACAAGGTTTGCAACAACAGGTTTGCTACAAAAGCTTTAGTCCAGCAGGTTTGCTACAGAAGGTTTGCTACAAGAAGGTTTGCTAAAAAAAGGTTTGCTGCAAAAAGGTTTGCTACAGCAGGATTGCTACAGCAGGTTTGCTACAAAATGTTTGCTACATCAGGTTTGCTACAAAAAGGTTTGCTACAGCAGGTTTGCTACAAAAGGTTTGCTACAGCACATTATTATTTTTAAACAATAAAAATGTTTAAAAGGACTTAATGTAAATTTAATCCTGCTGAGACTTCGATATGAGAGCCCTTAAGCTTTCAGTTTGACATCGTGGTGTCTCTCGACCAACAAATTGAATAGTTTGAGACATCTTGAACTCAAACTTGCCCCAGACAATCTTAAACATGTACAGAAAAAAAAGTAAGAGTTTCACAGCACTTGGCACCACTCTCTCCAAATTACTTTTCACAATTTCAACTGGTTTTTTTTTTTTAAATTTAGAAATGAAAGCGGACATTTTGTTTGTTGCTTTTTTTCCCCCGACATCGTACAGCTCAAATTGAAACGCAGTCTTGCCAGTGTCACTGTGCAGGCCGGCGACCATTCTGCGGCGACTACAACCAACTACGGGGCCGCAGTAGCAGAAGACAAACATCATCTATTTTGTTAGCGTTTGTTCTGTACCGGAGGACTATCCCCATATCTCCAACAGACACTTAAATATATATATATATATTATGTATTCTGTATTGACATGTTTTATGAATATGTTAATATGTTAGACATGACAACAGTGACAGAATTGTTAACACGTGACAACAGTGACAGAATTGTTAACACGTGACAACAGTGACAGAATTGTTAACACGTGACAACAGTGACAGAATTGTTAACACGTGACAACAGTGACAGAATTGTAAACACGTGACAACAGTGACATAATTGTTTACACGTGACAGTCGTGTTAGGATTGTTGAATGGTTCTACTCGTTTATTATTATTCAAATAACAAAGAAATAAATTTTTTTAAAACAAATTGTGTCTGCCACTAGCCATCTATCGTCTGGATTACAATACATCGAGTGTGTTGATTCTAATACATCTGAAGTCAGATCTTGTGGGGGCACTTCAGTGTCTTAAGTTATCAGAGGCGTAGCGAGAGTGTTTGGCGCCCGGGGACAAGATCCATTTTAAAGCGCAACTTTTTCAACTCTCAAACCCATTATTTTCATCAACAAAATAATATCAAAGCACATTTTGGCGCCCCTAACTAGCTGGCACCCGGGGACATCTGCCCCCCTAACTCCCCCCTTTCGCTACGCCTCTGCAAGTTATGCAGCCTATGAGTGAACATTAGATTGTGCATTATGTAAACAAATAACAGCACTGGTATTTGTTTAAAGCTGAGTGACTTTACTCGGAGGAGTCTTGACGGCAACCAAGAACATGGTATGCTTTTTATAACTTGAAATTAAAATTAAAATTTAACCCAATGAGAATTTTAGGTTCGTTTTCATAAATTTAAATAAGAAATCATTGTAAAAGTCTCAATACAAAATCACGCTGACATCTATTAAAGAACACAATAAAATTTTAGAAAGAGAATAATATGATCCTGTTTCATAATCTCATGTATGTATATGTATGTGATTCAGATGAAAGCATACATTGCAAAATATCGTCTCCAGCTAAACTTTTTACTAGTTCAAAGGGTGCTTTAGGCAGCTGTTCTTGAACTAGTGGGGAAACCATCAGTGATCAATCCTAATGGAACTGTAGCAGCGTTGATACCTTCTTTCCATGGTCAAGACTTGCAGATGAAATCTCTCGCCATGAAAGCATCACTTTGATCAACCAAGTTCCGTGTTAAAAAAAAATACAGACAATAATTTAAAATATGTGTGGGAGATGTGTGGGAGATGTGTGGGAGATGTGTTTGAGATGTGTGTGAAATGTGTCTGAGATGTGTGGGAGATGTGTGGGAGATGTGTGTAAGATGTGTGGGAGATGTGTGAGAGATTTATGGGAGATGTGTCTGAGATGTGTGTAAGATGTGTGTTAGATGTGTGAGAGATGTGTGCAGGATGTGTGGGAGATGTGTGGGGGATGTGTTTGAGATGTGTGGGAATGTGTGGGAGATGTGTGGTGGATGTATGGGAGATTTGTGGGAGATATGTGGAGATGTATGGGATATTCGTAGGAGATTGGTGGGAGATTTGTAAGCGACGTGTGGGAGATATGTGGGAGATGTGAGGACATACAACAATAGAGAAGCAAATCCTCAAAAAAAATGGAGATAGATAGGGCACACCCCCAGGAAGGACACCAACTACAGTGCTAGACAGTCCCTACTGTGGAAACACAGTCTAATCGACACAGAGGAATACCCAAGAGAACATGGGGGTGGAGTGTGATGGATGAGGTTGAGAGAACATGGAGGTGGAGTGTGGTGGATGAGACTGAGCGAATTTGGAGGGAAAGTGTGCTGGATGAGTCTGAGAGAACCCGAAACAGCTGGCAAGACCTAAAAACACTGGCAAGAGATCTTGAAAAGGGGTGTGCTTTGGTAGAAGCCGTATGTTCCACAAGGAACCCAAAGGACAAATGATGTGATGATGAAAAACCTATAACCTTTTACCAAAGCGAATCAGATCATCAGGACAAAAAAACAGACTCACTGGTTTCTACCATCAATTTAAGAATAAATGAATAGCAAAGCCTTTTTTTTCTTCTTTTGGATCTTCAGTTAAATTTGTTTTAAACAGGTGAAATCTTTTAATCTCAATAAATGTCATGATAGGCTCTGTGGGTCTGTAATGATAGGCTCTGCGGGTCTGTAATGATAGGCTCTGCGGGTCTGTAATGATAGGCTCTGTGGGTCTGTAATGACAGCGAAACAAGTTTATTTGCATTGTTCACATCAATTATTGGGTTGCAGACATTTCAGAGAGTCGTTCAGCTACTCCCGACACCCTCTTGCGTGCAGCTAACAGACTCTGCGTGTCTACTGCACCGGGCGAACACCTGGTCGCAGGTCCGCCTGCACCTCGAGCTCATCTTGTAGTACAGGAAGATATTCACGCTGGCGTTGAACGTGTACAGGAGGAACACAAACGACCAGCAGGTGTGAAATATGTTTACCTGTTTGCCGACGACGCTAAAGTCCGGCACGAGGGACGACACGACAGAGAAGGTCACGGTCGGCGTGTAGCAAAGGATGAGCACTGTGGCCACCAGCGTCACCATGGCAACCGTCGTCTATTTGTCCCTCAGCGTCCTCGTCTCGTGCTGCTCTTTACCGAACGTCGTGCTCTTCCGCCATTTAGCTTTGCGTTTGAGATTATACACGAGAACGCTGGTAAACGTGACGACTGCCGCGAACGCTAAAATAGCCAGGGAAGCGTGGAAATTAAAGACCAAGCCTTCAGTTGCCGATCTGTTACTTCTGAAAGCCAAGCCAATCCGAGCAAACTTCTGTTCCGGCTCGGGTAAAAATTCCACCCGAAGTAGACGCTGGCGTATTCCGGGACGAGGGATAAGATGTTGATGAGGTAGATGAGGAAAATGATGAACGATGTTCGCGGAGTCGTGACGAGGCGCTTTACTTTCAGCGACAAGGCGATGGACAGGCACCGCTCGTCGGTGATGTAGGCGGTGACCCAGCAGGTGATGCGAGCCGCCGTGCCGTTAGGCCAACCGGCCGTCAGGTACTGCATCTCGTCGAACTCAAGCGGGGAGTCGACCCGGTCGATGTAGGGGTTGAGCATCGCGCAGAGGTCGGAGATGGCGATGGCGAAAAAGCTGATGTTCATGGAGTTGGTGAGGCCCTGCTTCAGGAACACGCACATGTTGAAAATGTTCGCCCCGATCCCGAAAAGACCAATGGCGCTGCTGAGAGCCACGTGATTGACCATGATAAATATTTCCTTGGCGCGGTCGTCCAAAAGAACAAAAGTGGGTGCGGTGGTGGCTGCGGTAGCAGTGGTGGTGGTGGCTGTGGCTGTGGTCGGATGAGAATCATGTCCAGTTGGATCAAAGTTCGGATAATTCATATTTGATTGTGTCATTATAACAGATCCCACTTTGATGATGTATTATGTTTTATATTTAGACCTTGGTGTAATTTGTACGAAATTATACATATACTAGTTATAGCTCGCCAAACATTAGCGACAGCAATGTGTGAACATCCCATCTACTAGTTATAGCTCACCAAACATTGGCGACAGCAATGTGTGAACATCCCATCTACTAGTTATAGCTCACCAAACATTGGTGACACAATGTGTGAACATCCCATCTACTAGTTATAGCTCACCAAACATTAGCGACAGCAATGTGTGAACATCCCATCTACTAGTTATAGCTCACCAAACATTAGCGACAGCAATGTGTGAACATCCCATCTACTAGATATAGCTCACCAAACATTGGTGACACAATGTGTGAACATCCCATCTACTAGTTATAGCTCACCAAACATTAGCGACAGCAATGTGTGAACATCCCATCTACTAGTTATAGCTCACCAAACATTAGCGACAGCAATGTGTGAACATCCCATCTACTAGTTATAGCTCACCAAACATTGGTGACACAATGCGTGAACTTTACATCTACTAAAGTGACTAGATAAAACATTAACTCAAGTAACGCACATGTAAGAATCCCACTTTTTGCCACACCCGTTGCCCCCATGATACGCCACTGCACATTTTTCATTTCACGCCAATGAACTATATTTAATAGTCTGATGTCCCAGCCACTTTTAAACCGAATATTTTTTTACACAATATTTTAATTGAGACCATTAGTTGCCTACAACTTTATGAGGGGCTAACCTTAAAATAAATATTTTATGAACTAAATACTTTTTGTTTAACATCTGGTCATTATAACCCTAAATTTCTTATTAGTATTGAACTACCAAAAGGACTCTCCTCTGTTAATGCTTTCCATAGCGAAGCACGTGACTTTAACAGACGTTAAGTTGCATCAGCCCCTCCAAAACAAATTAAATAGAAAGTAAGCGATTATCTAAATACTTGTTAAAGTTAGTAAGCCCTTATTTAAATTAAATGCTTGTTAAAGTTAGTGAGCGATTATTTAAATACTTGTTAAAGCAAGAACGAGATAATTTAAACACTTGTTAAAGCAAGAACGAGATTATTTAAACACTTGTTAAAGCAAGAACGAGATTATTTAAATACTTGTTAAAGCAAGAACGAGATTATTTAAACACTTGTTAAAGCAAGAACGAGATAATTTAAACACTTGTTAAAGCAAGAACGAGATTATTTAAACACTTGTTCAAGTCAAAAGTATCGTGACAGCTGTTCACGTCCATTCTCTATAGACACAAAATGTGAAACGCCCGCTCGAACAGTCCAGAGTCTTATACCTTATAAGCACTTGGCATTGCTTTCTTTTCCAACACACGAGGAATAGGTCGTGTGATTTTAACACACACACATACACAAAGAGAAATCGCTTAAGCCTCTTCGAAAGGACGTAAGTTGTATGGATAATTGACTTCTAAACCAATGCGTAATTTAATGGGATCGTGATAATGGGGATGATGATGAACCCCACCCCACCCCACTTTTTTTTCCCCTGGACAGGAGGATGTTAGGCTAACCACGGCTGTTTCTAGATAATTGATTTTAATGTTATACAATTATGTTGTTATACCTTGTAGAAGCATTTCGTTTTTGTTTCAGCAGTCATTCTAATGGACCTCCGCGAAGAAAATTAAGTCATGGTCATTATTTATCTTTTCTTTAAATTGTAACAAGACAGAGAGGGTTGATTGCGATCAAACTTATGTAAACTTGACTTAAACTGGTTTAAAAGTCATACTATAAGTATGCACAACATTTAGGATTAAGATTTCTTTAATTATTAAAACAAAATATAAAAATGCGAATTGGACTAAAAGTCTTCAGTAGTTAACATGTAAAAAAAATTATTTACATTGTAGTTATATCATAAAGAGAGAGAGAGAGAGAAAAGGGGTGTGAGTAGAGGGAATGAAATAGAAAGAGAGATAAATGTATATTTTATATTGTGCATATCTTCACGGAATCGTTCATCAAAGCATTGGATCTAGGTAGCATGACCTGCAATTTTTTTAACTGAAAGAGTTCAAGATCACGTTCCAACTACCTTAGAATCAGTCCTTGATTTTTTAACACATCCAGAGAAAATGGGAACTTTTTTTGGTCTTTAAATTAAAGTGTTTTCAAAATTCAATCACTTTTTTTTTTTTTTACTAAATATCTGTATATGTATGAAATAACATATGAATTAATCTATTAGAAAGAGAAAGGAATGTATTGCCTTGATATAGGTGTGTAGATAATACTTTCAATACTATATTAAACTACTTCACCAACATTACCTAACTCTAACAACCTGATCCCCAATTAAACTTTTTAATGGCTTTTTTTTTTTTTTTTATGTCATTTTGTTCAAATCTTTTTTTCCCCTCTATTTCTACCCATCAAATATGGTATAGATAGCGCTCAGCTTAATAAAAGCAATTTGAAATCTATAACAATATAATCATCGACGTTTCAATATTTGAATAGCAATTAAGTGGAATAAAATTGAAGTTTAATTGACGACACTGCCGTTTGTAATGTGAGACGCATTAGTTGCAATTTGTAATTAGACAAGGAAAATAGATTCGTTGCAAATGCAGAATTAAAGGCCAGCTATATGAAGTAAATTTTATGAATGTATTGTTTTATGAAGTATCGCCATCTCCTGTAAGAAATTTAAGCTGGCAACATGGACGCCCGCAGGGGGTGGCACTCCTCCCCCCCCCCCCCCCCCCTTGATTGGATAAAAAAATTTTTGACAAAAAATGTATTAAAGTAAAGAGAAAATAAAGAGAAAGTAACTAAGCTGATGTCCTGTCCGTTCGTTCACCATACAAATACGCTACAGTAAATTAAAACTACATTGAAACATTACTAAAAAAATGTTGACCCCCCCCCCCCTGGAAAGTTTTCTGCGGGCGCCCATGGCTGGCAATATCATCCAATTTCTCATTAGTCGGATATAGAGGTTAATAATAAGGTGAAGTAAAAAAAGGTTTGCAAGGAAGCCAATGAATATTTTATAACGATTTTAATTGAGGATAATTTTATAAATTTTATAAATAAGGATGATGGTGAATGTTTTCAACAACAGAAAAAGAGTAAAAACTGATGAAGTGGGAGGTCAAAATGGCAACAAGAGCAGATGTTCGTATATTTTTGCTATATATACGCCTGCCTCATAAGGTATTTTTATTGTCGTGTAAACCAAACGGAGTAGTGTAAGCTTCATTCATTAGCTTAATTTTAAGACATGATAATGATAGCTAAAACTAAAACTATTTTTTAACTTAGAATTGGACTTTTTTTTTACCCATAAGAAGAAGTTGGTGTAGGTGTCTTAATGGCCATCAAATCAGGCAGACAATATGAATTGTTTCTAAATGTGTTCAAAGACTGTGCTTTTTTTTTGTTTGGTTCAGATTAAAACATGATCACCAACTCTATTACATTCTTTGGAGAATGCAGGTTTATTTCTAACTCTTACTCTTAGCGGGACTCTTAGTCTTAGTTACAGCTTAGTCCAACAAATAATGACTTCCTCTAAATTCAATAACTGTTTCAATTCATTGCCTGTCTGTATCTACAAATTGGACATTTTGGTAGATTTCTATCTCATTACAAAATATTGTTTTAAAAAACTAAAAAATTACAGTAGTACAAATACAATTTAATTTTCCTCAAAATGTAAAAAATACTGGTAAGGTACAGTAAAAAAAAATCATACAAAAAACTTCAAAAAGGAACGCTAATCACTCTATTACTATTATAATAGTAATAGTCACAGTAATTAATGTCTATTTGTAATCAACGGTACATGCAAATTACACTTACACCTTTGTAATTTGTACACTCTATCTTTAATAGGCAGTAATATGTTTCTTTAACTCTTACACCAACGTGAAGATACTCACTGCTATACAAAAAAGTTGATGTTTAAAATGGCCAATTCACATAATGAAAATGATAATTACAAAAACTTAAAGTAGCAATTTTTAAAAATTTGTTCAAGGATTTCTGTCCAGTAAAATTGTTATACTTGTTATACCGGTACCAATCTTTTAAGTTACATATAGAAATTATTTGTTCAAAAGAGATAATTATAGTGTTAAATTAAAAATGAATACTCCTTATCTGATAAAGCGTTCATTACCCTTAGCTTGGACCTGGCCATAACTTGGTTGACAGACAATGAAAATGTTGTTACTTACAGTGCCAATAAAATGCAATTTTATCTATGTCTCTGTTTTATGATGTAATGTAAGCTTACTAAATATACGTTTATTTTGATTCGGTAAATGAAATCATTTTTCTCAAATTGTAATTACTTTTAAAATTCAGGAGAATTTTCCCCAGTAAGTTGTGTTGAGTGATTACGTTAGGTACAATGGACCAAGCCAACACATAGGGCAAAATCCTTACAATAAATACCAAATATTAGTACTGTAATACTTTTCATCAAAATTATGCTATTTTCTCTCATGTATGTTTTCTTTTGTGTTGAGTCATATTGGAAGTACAAGCTCAAACCAGAAGACACATTTATTTTTTTTATTTTTAATGTTTACTCCTAAATGTTTTCTCATGTGTCTAGCTATTTTAGAAAAACTAGTCAGTGCAGCAGAATAAATGTCACATTCATATGGTTTCTCTCCAGTATGTGTTCTTTTGTGCCTACTTAAATGTCGTGTAGTACCATAATGCAGCAGAAGAAATGTCACATTTATATGGTCTCTCTCCAGTATGTGTTCTTTTGTGCTTATTTAAATAATATTTAGTACGAAATGCAGTAGAACAAATGTCACATTTAAAGGGTTTCTCTC